GACCTTTGATTTATATTCACCATTGAAATTATCTACATCTATTGCTTTAGGCTTTGATTGTGTCCATGTGCTGGTACATGTTCCTAGAATTACTAGAGGCCCGATGCATGAAAATTCGTGCAAGAGTGGGCCTTCCTTCTCCCGGCAGCCAGCACCGGCTTCCCTCTGGGACCCATGCTGCTTCCCTCCTCCGGCCGTCCACAGGCACCCCGGAACCGAGATGGCTTCTCTAAGGCTTCCCATAGGCACCCGGGACCCGGGCTGGCTTTCCTTCGGCTCAGCTTCATCAGGAAGGACATCGAAATGATGAAAAGACATCTGGTCTAATTAGCATATTGCCCTTTTATTTTATAGGTTGAATTGGATATGCAAGTGAAATTATAATGAAGAATTCATATCTAATTCCTTTTTTAAATTTTTTTAAGTTTTCAAACTCATGGAAAAGTTTATAGAAATGTACATTGAACACAGAGATTCACCTACTTAGTAAATTTATTACACATATCTTTTTCTCTATTTCCTATATACAGATATAAAAACCTTTTGCCAAACCATCTTAAAGCAAGTTGCAAACATTACGACAGTTTGTACCCCTAAATCAAGCATCCCTATGTAAAATGCCTTAGTTTACATTTTCCAAGGACATTCTCTTATATAACCAGACATCATTTCCGCACCTAATAAAATTAATGATTTTAGTAACTTCTGACACAAATTTCCCCAGTTATTAAAAAAAAAAAGTCTTTTATGACTCATTCCTACAGGCATCAACCCCACCCAAATTTAGTATTCAGTCATGACTCATACATTGCATTGGTTATTCTCTCTTTAGATCCCTAATTGGAAACATTCCTACCACTTCCTTTTGAACTTTAAAAAAATCATTCCTCTTAAAATAGTCTAATAGTGGAAAAAATATTTAGAAAATAAATGCTTTCATAAATACTAGGTGAGTTAAATCTTTAAGAGAAAATGTGTTATTTTAGCATTTCCAGAATTATAGGAAATAGATGCTAGATCAAGACCTATATTTCTCCTTGAGATGCTTTATTACTTTGCAATGAGAATATTATGTAGTAATTTATATTAATTTAGTAGTGTTCTTTAATTTCTCGATGGCTTAGTTGTATAATTAAACACTGTTCTGTATACAGGAGGTGTTTTCTGAGTTTTACTGATGTTAATAAATTTAAAACCTTTTCCTTACCAGAATAAGGAAAGCTTAATTAAGTATTGAACATTAAATTGGGTTAAATGTTTATCTAACTTAAGGAAAACATATTAAATAACTCTCAATAAAGACTTATCTTTCAGTAACATTGTACATTAAAAAAAATAGTGCCGTGAATAACACCAAACTAACTGAATTAAAACAGACCTCAGTAGGTTAAGGCACAGTATTTGGACTATTTCTTTAAAATATACTAGGAAATACTATTTTAATAACTGCTGAATGTGTGTGCTTCTCGTATGGCAGTTTTGTTTTCTGTATTACTTAGATCATCGATTTTCTTCTTGTCAGATGCTAACATCAGAGAAGTGGGCCTTGAAGGGGCATTACTGACCTTACTGGACAAAGAGACAGATCAAAAATTGTGCCATGATATCAAAGAGACTTTAAATCATATGCTCACATCTATGGCAGTGGACAAACTTTCCTTTTGGTTAAAGCTTTGTAAAGATGTACTTGCTGCATCAGCAGGTAAGTACTTGCGACTACCGGTTGAAATAATAAAATTGAAAGTAAAGATGTTGTATAAAGTTGTTTGCCAGTGATTATCAATCTTGTCTGAATATTTAGATTAAAATATTTGTGGCTTTCTTCAAATGAAGAGTCCAGCGCTAGTGTTTAAGTCTAGCACATAATAAGCTTGCTTTTTTGTTGTTGTTGTCTTATATGACTTTCCTATGTAACACAAACTAAAATGTAGAATCTTTATTTATGCTATAAAAAGGATGAACTAGCTTATAATAGCCCCATCATTTGTTTACATTCATGCAATAAATATTTGAGGAATTGCCTTGAGTCAACATAATAGAAAATTCATCAACGGGTATGACAATTTGAGCAAGTCAGTTTCTCCATTCTTAATAATGTTAGTTTCAAATAGTGTTTGAAATTAGTGTTATTTCCCAGTGTCTTTGCTAAAATAAGATAATTGTTGGTAAGAAGGTGTATTAGAATCTTTAAACTTTTATATCCTTTGAGTAAGAAATCCTCTCTCTGAAATCAATAAAAAATATATTTAAAAAAATAAAATTAGAGAAAGAAAGAAGATAGAAACAAATTCTGTTCTAGGTATTATACATATTTTATCTGATTTAACCATTTAATCATCCATTTTACACAGAGAAATCAAGTCTTGGAAAGGTTAAGTAATTGCCCAAAGACACACAGAGATGGATTCAAACCTTAGCTTGCAGTATTTTAAAACCCAATTTCTTACTATTATATATTTCAGTAACTCTCAACTCAGTTGCTTGAATCTTATAATTTAATGTAGCTCTGACCTCTACAATTCTGTGAAAGGGAGAAAGATACCATAAAGTCCTGGGATTTTATTTTTTTTTACATTCTTTACTCTTTACCTCGATTCTTACTGATCCTCTTCTCTTCCAGTGATTTAGACCTGCTCTTTCAATCATTTTCCACATTTTTAAAATATATTTTATTGATTTTTTTACAGAGAGCAAGGGAGAGAGATAGAGAGATAGAATTGTCGAGAGAGAAACATCGACCAGCTGCCCAGGGATGTTCCCGCAGCCAATGTACATACCTTGACCGGAATCGAACCCGGGATCTTTCAGTCCGCAGACCGACACTCTACCTCTGAGCCAAACTGGTTTCAGCTATTTTCCACATTTTCTTTAGTGCTCTCTTCTATCTCTACTATTTAAGAACTTACAAGGACTTCTTTCCTTTAAAACAAAATATGTATGTGCACAGACAAAACAGGTGATTGCACTTTTCTGATATCTCACCTTTTAAATTTTACATTTATACTCTGAGCTCTCTAGCTCCATTTTATTTTACTATTTATTACTTTTTTTAAATATGTTTGTATTGATTTTAGAGAAGAAAGGGGAGGAAGAAAGAGATAGAAACATCAATGATGAGAGAGAATCATTGATCGGCTGCCTCCTACACAACCCCCATTGGTGACCAAACCTACAATCTGGGCATGTGCCCTTGACCAGGCTCGAACTCAGGACCTTTCAGTCCTCAGGCCAATGCTCTGATCCACTGAGCCAAACCAGCTATAGCTACCATATATTCTTTATACCTTGTAGTTTAGCCCTGTCCCTTCTTATTAGGAAAACATCAGTTTCTGTTGACTTCTCAGTCATAACACAGGACTTTGCCATAACTTTTATTATCTATCATAACACACTAAAAAAAAATGTTGACATACAAGCTAACTTAAGAAAACCAGTTTGGTTTGTTTTATAGCATTAATTTTATTTTTAATTAGAGTTAGTAAGCTAACAGTATAAAGAGAAAATAATTCACTAAAGTCTGGTTCTGGTTATCAAGACAATGTGAGACTACCATGACAGCAATGGGTCTATTCTAACATATATTTCAGACATTGTCAGTTGATTCAGGAACCTTCATAAATCCATTCAAGGCCACGGTATTAAAACAGCATACCCAGTACAATCCACTACACTCCCTACTAGAGAATGTTGATCTTCCTTTGCACAAGGAATTTATTATTATCCTAGTATCTAGTATCATGTTCAGTTTTTCATTTTGAATATAATTTGGCAGCTTTCTTACTTTGAACTAGAATGGTTCTAACAGCATTTCTTTAAATGCCGCTGTTATGATGCTTATTTAATAGGCATGATTACTTTACATTGTTAAAAGATGTATGACTGATGAACAATAATTCTGGTCTGAATTTGAAGTCATTTGTGTTCCTTTATAAATATATATTCAAATTGATTGTGATTACATGTACTCTTCCTTGATAAAAGATTTTACAGCTGTAACTTGTGTGGATACAATGCAAGAAGAGGAAGGTGATAAAGGGGATGATGACTCAGTTCTGACCACCAGAAGTGATGACAGATCCCATCCCTTTACCAATCCCCGGTGGGCCACTAGAGTCTTCGCTGCTGAATGTGTCTGCAGGATAATTAACCAGTGTGAGAGTGCACACTGCGCACATTTTGACATTGCTTTAGCACAAGAAATGAAAAAAAAGGATTCAAGAAGTAAGTGGTATAATAATGAAAAAAAAAAACCCCCACAATATTATACATAGAAATTCTGTCTGCTTATATGTTTAATATTAACTTAAAAGATAAAACTAAAGTTATTCTTCCAAATCAGTTATGAAACTACTATACCTTTACATAAACAGTAAGCATAGTGTATTTTTAATGTCTAAATACATTTTTAATTATTAAGTTTCTTAAATTGATATTCACAACTTGATGAATGGATTTATCGAATGAGTTAAGTTTATAGAGAATAATCATGTTCTTAGACATTGTCAGTGGATTCAGGAACCTTCATAAATCCATTCAAGGCCACAGTATTAAAACAGCATACCCAGTACAATCCACTACACTCCCTACTAGAGAATGTTGATCTTCCTTAGCACAAGGAATTTATTATTATCCTAGTATCTAGTATCATGTTCAGTTTTTCATTTTGAATATAATTTGTAAAATAAAACAGTAAATTAAATCAGAGGTACTTAAAAAGCAAGTCTAGATTATGAAATTAAATTAAAAACTTAACATAAATCTTAGAAAGTAGTATCGTGTTAGCTACTTCCCAAAATTTATTTTCTGAGTTATAACTTAGAACAGTTTTACATGTAGATTGTTTTGTTTCCATGGATTAATTACTCAGGAAACATTTGAGCCTATCTCAATGGAAACAGTTATAAGGTCATTTTAACCTTTTATTCAGTTTCATTATTTTTACCTAAATATTTGTGTTACGGTTCAATGTCTGGTTTTTTAATTCACTTCAGTACATGTTCAAAGGAGCAATGCCCATACCTGAATGCCTTGAAAATGTTCTTTACCAATCAAAAGAATTATAAAGCAAAATGTTTTTGTCACCAGTCTTAGAATATGAATTAGGTATATCTGTTTCAGTGATTTTTCAAGTAGCATTTATTGTGTCTCTTACTGTGATGAACATGTGCTAAATACTGATAGTATAAAATCAGTATATCATAGATGCTTACTGATTCCTGTGCTCCCAATTAAAATTGTAATTAGCACTTACCAATATGAGTTGTTTTTTTCCAGTGTGGCCTATAGGTATTCTTTTTTTTAATTAGTCTCAAATATATTTTAGGTAAAGATTACTTGTACTCTAAACATTTTATTGCTGGAACATTGTTAAATGAATTTCTTATGTTTTTCCCTGGTAGAATTATTATGCCAAACAATGTGTTGTAGGAATGAAAAGAATTTTTATTTATAACTAAAGGCCCGGTGCATGAAATCTGAGCACTGAGGGGGGATCCTGGACTGCCCTATCACAGCCCAGGACCCTTCATGGGATGTCAGCAGTCAGGTATTCCTCTCACAGCTCGGGACTCCTCACTCCTTACCACCTGCCTGTTCGCTATTCTTTGCTACTTGGCTTGCTGCTCCTTAGCCCTGCCAGAGAGGCGGGGAGAGGCTCCTGACACCACTGCACTCACCAGCTGTGAGCCTGGCTTCTGGCTGAGCGGCACTCCTCCTATGGGAGCGAACTGACCACAAAGGGCAGCTCCCGTGTTGAGCATCTGCCTCTGATGGTCAGTGTGTGTAATAGCGACCAGTCGCTCCGCCAGTCATTCTGCCATTCGGTCGATTTGCAGATTTGCATATTAGGCTTTATTATATAGGATTTTATACTGACTAATTTTTTTTATATTCCCATCACTTGTATGTGTGGCAAGACATGCAGAAACAAGATAATCTAGTTCATTTAAAACACTACATAATTTTTTTTTTATTAATCCTTACCCATGGATATTTTTCCTTTGATTCTTAGAGTGGAAGGGAGGGGAATAGATAAAGAGAAAAACATCAGTGTGAGAGAGACACATCAATTGGTTGCCCCCTTGCATACACTCCAGCCTGTGCCAGGGATCAAGCCTGCACCTGAGCTATGTGGCCTTGACTAGAATCAAACCTGGGACCCTTCAGCCTATGAGCCAACACTCTATCCACTAGCCAAACTGGGTAGGGCCATAAAACTATTTTTTAAAGGAACTGTGTGTTTTAGTTTCAACTTGACGTAAAGGAAATAAATTATTGACTAATTAATCAAAACTCAATCTCCTAAGTACCTTCTAATGTACTTTTATCAGAAAGTCTGAACATAATTTTTAATGAAGGTACCATTAGCAATCTTTTAAAGGATAATAATTCCGCCTTTGGTTTCTGAATAGCTGTAAAACTACTTGCTTTGGAATAGTGTTCTTGTGTGTGAGTATTTACAGTGGAAGAGTATATCCAGCTTTCAAGTTTGTATTTAACAAATGGTAAAATAAAACAGTAAATTAAATCAGAGGTACTTAAAAAGCAAGTCTAGATTACGAAGTTAAATTAAAAACTTAACATAAATCTTAGCTCCAGCATACTCTTCCCCTTGATAAGATTTTTTTAATCTTGCAGATGACTTTTTGGTGCTGCATCTTGCCGACTTGATTCGCATGGCTTTTATGGCTGCCACAGATCATAGTGACCAGCTCCGTCTTTCTGGCCTTCAAATGTTGTTAATTGTTATTCGGCGATTTGCAACTATTCCAGAACCAGAGTTTCCAGGACACGTGATTCTGGAACAGTATCAAGCCAATGTAAGCACTTTCTGCAAGAGATGAATTATTAAACACCCAGATAAAAAGCCTATTAAACTAGTTGTCATGTCACCTTTTAATACATAACTAAGTGTATATCTCTGCTTATATATCACCATTATAATTAGTATTTAGAAAATGCATATGTTTGAAGAAGAAGTCTTCATGTAAAAGCAAAATAGTACTTAAAAAGGTCTTTTATAACTTTAAAGATTAATTTTAATAATTAACATCTTCATGGTAATATTGGGAAATAAAGAACTTTAGTAATTAAATTTTTTACAAAATATCTGAATAAGCTTAAAATAACACTAAATCATTACTGAACATTTTGTTTGGGCTATATGCATGTTCTATTTGCAAATCATTGTTCCTAAAGTAGATAGAACCACCTTCATTGTTTTTCTGGACTTAGAAAAGAGCTCAGGGTTCTAATACTATAAACTTTTTAATGGGTGTTTGATGCATTGAGCCATTTGGAAGAACCAGTAAGATAACAGAATCATCATGTTACATCACACATAATCCTGCAGCATTTATCCCAGAGTACCTCTCATGATTCAGAGGCAGCTTCTTTTTCTTTCTTTTTTTCCATATACTTTTATTGATTTTAGAGAAAGAAAGAAACATCGGTCACCTACCTCCCACACATACCCTGACACGCACCCCAACCAGGGTAGATGCCCTGATTGGGAATTGAACCCAAGACTCTTCAATGCACAGGAGGACACTCAACCAACTGAGCCACACCACCTAGGGCCAGAGACAGTTCCTGACAGCTAGCAGTTAGGAAGACCAGAGCAGTTCACCAGTTAGTTAGCAATCTCTCATCATGTCTTCCCATCTGGTGACGCCAATGTACGCTTGAGGAAAACTCAAAAGGAAGGGAGTGACAGTACATAGAACTATCGTATTAATATAAAATATTATAATTCAACTTAATTAAGGGGAGCTCTGTTGTGTTTATAGTCTTCTTGAAACTGCAAATGATAGAATAAATACAACTCAGCAGAAAAGGAAAATTGTTTTCAGAAATTATATTTGGCTCTGCTTGGTTCCACACTGGCTTTGTTCTCAAATTTGTTCTCTCCAAGTTCTATCAAGATGGTTCTCTAAGAAGCAACCAGAATCTTATAGCGATTATGCTTTCCCAGTACTCCCAGCAAGTCTTAAGGGGAACTTTCATTGTCCCAGGATGGGTCTCTGGAGCCAGGCAGTGCTGTTAGCTCCATAGCACAACATGGGCTAAGATTTGGGGAGAGAGAAGGTTCCAAAAAGGAAAATTGGGATGCTATGAGGTAAAAGCAAAGGACAAAATACTGGGTAGAAAAACAACAATGTTCTTCATAATACCTGCTATAAACAAATAACTTTAATAACATTACAAAGAGGATGCTTGTGGCTGTCTTACTTACTGTCTTTATATGTCATATAATTTCTTGCCAGGTAGGAGCTGCACTTAGACCAGCCTTCACTTCAGAGACAGCACCTGATGTCACTGCCAAAGCATGTCAGGTAAATGCCTAAAATGACAAAGCTTAACAAATAAAACCCTCTCTTCGGAAGCAGTTCTCTAGCTATTATTTGATACCAGGGTTCTATATAGTTTTCTGTTACTTAATCTCAGCTCTTCCTTCTCCTTTACTTTTTAAAAATATATTTTATTGATTTTTTACAGAGAGGAAGGGCGAGGGATAGAGAGCTAGAAATATCGATGAGAGAGAAACATCGATCAGCTGCCTCTTGCACACCAATGTACATGCCCTTGACCGGAATCGAACCCGGGACCTTTCAGTCCGCAGACTCTCTACCACTAAGCCAAACCGGCTTCGGCTCCTTTACTTTTTAAATTTAGAGAACTTCCTCTCTCTTTTGTGTAATTGCATGGTAATTCAGTATATAAATAAGTCATAATTTATGGGTAACAAATAAGTGGGTTTTTTAATGGTTTGCTATTTCAAATAGTGCTAGGGTGAATGGCCTTCCACATAGGTCATTTTGACTTGGTGCAATCTTATCTGTAAAATAAACTCCAAAATTGAATTGCTGAGTTAAAGAGTATATTATAGGAGCTTACCAATTTCATCTCCTAACAGTAATGTATGCAAGCATTATTGTCTGAGCAATTTTGTGAGATGTCAAACATTTAGATTTTTGTGTATGTGATAGAGTAAAAAGAGTATATCAATATACTAGTTTAGATTTGCATTTCAAATGAGATTGAATGCTCTTTTACATATCAAAGTCCCGTATAATATACCATTCTAAACAGGTATTTTTCTTGGAATGGCTGTCAAACACTCAAAATCCAGCCCTGCATGACCTAAAATTATTAAAAGCAGAGTTAGCTTGAATTGAGTTAATTATAAACATAATAAAAGATTGGTTTTAGTCAGGTCTTTCAACTTTATTTTACTCAGTTGTGTTTAGGAAGCGTTTGAGTGCCTGAATTGTTTCAATGTTGTACTGAGCCCCTTTTTTTTCCAAACCAGAGGGTTTGTTTTTTTGTTTGTTTGTTTTTTATTGATTTGAGAGAGGGAGGAAGGGAGAGAGAGAGAGAAACATCCATGAGAAAGAGAAATATTTGATTGGCTGCCTCCTGCACACCCCTTACTGGGGATTGAGCCCATAACCCAGGCATGTGTCCTGGCCCGAATCAAACTGGCAACCTTTCGGTGCACAGACGACACTCAGCCAACTAAGGTCAGGGCTGTATTGAGTTTTTAATTTTTCAATCACTTTAGTATATATGTTTCTGCTGTAAATCACTTGAGATTTTGTGAAATGGGGCAGGAAGTGATTAAATAGATGGAAAAGGTAAAATTTTCTCTAGAAGAAGTTAAATGACACCTTAGAAAACCATAAACATCCCTGATAACTTAGTACATTTTTTTGCATTAGAAAATTATTAATTATGTTTATATTTTAAATTTTTTCAAGAAATTTTTAATACCTTATTTCCAAAAAAATCAAAATAATCTTTGGGTTTTTAGTGTTGGATGCTTTATCTTTTAAGAAAGTTACATTAAGTAACCACACAATTCAGTGTGTTGTGTTTTTTTTAAATATATATTTTTATTGATTTCAGAGAGGAAGGGAGAGGGAGGGACAGACAGAAATATCAATGATGAGGGATAATCATTGATCGGCTGTCTCCTGAATGCCTCCCACTGGGGACTGAGCTCAAGTGCCCTGAGCAGGAATCAAACTGTGACCTCCTGGTTCATAGGTCAGTGCTCAACCACTGAGCCACTCCAGGCACAATCTCAAATTTTAAAATAATAAGATGAAGTAATCAGGACTAAAGATTTAATTTATTTTTTAATATAGTTTTATTGATTTCAGAGAGGAAGGGAGAGAGGAGAGAGAGAGAGAAATATCAATGATGAAAGAGACTCATTGATTGGCTGCCTCTCCATGCCCCCAACTGGGGATCGAGCTGGCAACCCCGGGCATGTGCTCTTGGCTGGAATCGAATCTGGGACCCCCAGTTCACAGGTCGACACACTATCCACTGAGCCAAACCAGCTCAGACTGAAGATTTAATTTAAATGTTAATTCAAACATTTATGAAAGTGGTACTTTCTGAATCTCTTTTATTTTATGTACTGATTAGTACTAGTGTCCTTGCTTCAACCTTAGACTTCATTTCCTTTTGAAATGCTGGCTTTTGAGGATCATTATAAGCAGCTTCTCATTGGATTTTTGATAGCAAGGTGATTTCATTGACTAGATTCCTAAGATTTGTGTGAGGTCTGTTAAACTTACAGGAACATATTTATAATTTTCAAATGTAACTTCTTATTTTCTTAAAAACCAGGTTTGCAGTGCCTGGATAGCAAGTGGAGTTGTAAGTGACCTTAATGATCTCCGAAGAGTTCATCATTTGCTTGTCTCATCATTAACAAAAATACAGGCTGGAAAAGAAGCTCTAAGTCACTTATATAATGAAAGTGCTTCTACCATGGAGATCTTAGCTGTGCTAAAAGCCTGGGCAGAGGTTAGTACTTCTTAACTTGTAATGGGAATTTTGGAAGTTGTTAATAAACAGCTTAGGCCATAAATTGAAGTTAACTTTCTAAAACACAAATAAGTCCTTTTTTAAAGTTAACAAAATGCTTTCAACATATAATTGTATGTTAATTGATATTTTGGCCAAACATTCTAAAGTGTTCATTGTCTGTTATCTGCTGCTGTCAGATATCTGCTGCTATCTTGAGCCAGATAGACTTTATTATAGTCAGTGAAAATTAATTTTTATTCAGATCTGAACTACTAGAAATGTGGGTTTGCTTGTATGTTCTGTTAATTCTATAACACATACTTTAATTCTGCATGCTTTCTTATAGATGACTTTGGAATATTAAATAATAAGTAATTTCTTTTTCTAAGATTAAGAAATCTTATACAAAAAATGTTTAACTTTTCTAATCAGGAAGAAAACTCTATTTTTTTTAATTTACTATGGAAATGTTTAAGCAGATATGAAAGTGGTTATAATAGTGTAATGAGCCTACTTATACCCATCAACCAGCTTTAGCAGTTACCAAACTTGGCCAGTCTGGGTTCATATATCATTTTAATGAATGTGTATAGTTTTACATTACAACTGAAAAAATTAATCAATATGAAAGAAGGAGTTTTCTCCAGCATAGCTAATATAACTACTTAAAGCGTGAAGATTATAGAATTTTTTTTCATTATTTAGTTTTAACAAATCTTTTTCTAATTAATGAAAGCAAGAGTTTCTTTAGACAGAGAGAAACATCAATTTATTGATCCACTTATTTATTAATTCATTGGTTAATTCTTGTATATGCCCTAACCAGGAATCAGACCTGCACCCTTGACATTTCAAGAGGATGCTTTAACCAACTGAGCAACCTGGCCAGGGCTAAGATTGATAAATCTTGATTAAGAAGTAGTTCTGGCCTTAACTGGTTTGGCTCAGTGGATAGAGCTTCACCTACAAACTGAAAGGTCCCGGGTTTGATTCTGGTCAAGGGCACATGCCCGGGTTGCAGTCTCAATCCCCAGTATGGGACATGCAGAAGGCAGCCGATTAATGATTCTCATCATTGATGTTTCTATCTCTCTCTCGCTCTCCTTTCCTCTCTGAAATCAATAAAAAAAAAAATATATTTTTTTAAATAAAGTAGCTCTGGTCCGGCTGGAGTAGCTCAGTAGTTGTGTGTCAACCTGTGAACCAGGAGGTTAGTTTGATTCCCAGTCAGGGCACTTGCCCAGGTTTGGGGCTCTATCATGCAGGAGGCAGCCTACCAATGATTCTCTCTCATGTGAATGTTTCTATCTCTCCCTTCCTTTCTGAAATCATTAAAAACATATTTTTTTAAAGAAGTAATTCTGCCTATATTTAATAAGCTGGATCTCTCTTTAACAACCAGCTCTTTGTGCTTTTAAATGGAAATGTTTAAGCAGATATTTAACCCTTATCGGATGAAAGGGAACTTTAGTTCCCAGTTAAAAGATAACTTTAATACATTTTCTTTATAAATGTTTTTACTTTTCATAAATAACTTAAAAATAGATAAGATAGAGGCAAAAAAGTAAATGCCTGCAGAGCTGAATTTAAATGCCCAAAGAAGCTCCTGCCTGCAGACCCCATTAGGAGAATTTAAATGCCATCTTTTAAAGGTTAAACATTTAAATACTAGTAGCCAATTGGAAAATTCCTGCAATAGGGCTTCCTGCTGCACTCTCCCCTACCCCGCCTGCTCCTCTTCTTTCTCTCCACTTACCTGCTTCCCTTCCTTCTTCCCTGCCCCGATTGCTTCTCTGCAGCTTTACTCCCTTCTGCAGAGTTTGGCTACTTTCTATGCTGTCTTGATATGCAAATTAACTACCATCTTTGTTGGGTTGATTTGCATACTCTCCTGATTGGTTGGAGGGTGTGGCTTGGGTGTAGCGAAGGTGCAGTCAATTTGCAATCTTTTAGTAGGTAGTATATGTTTCTAACATGGAACAGACTGTTGAATCTCAGAGGGAAGGCAGGATGAGTGGGTGGGAGGGAAGAAACCAACCAAAGAACTTGTATGCATTTATACATAACCCATAGCCACAGACAGTAGGCTGGTGAAGGCCGGAGGTGAGGCAAGGTTGGGAGAGCGGTTAGAAGGGGCCAAGGGGGGGGGGGGGGGGCGCGAGGGAGGGAGAATGGAGACATGTAATACTTTAAACAATAAAGATTTAAATAAATAAATGCTTTTAGCTCTAGTTTTCATAACCTATTTCACAGATAATTCTCCTCTTATATAGTGTTCTTTATAATAATTTGAATCTCTGTTCTCTTGCTTAAGCCCATTACCTCCTCCTATTCTCTCCTCAGTAAAGATAATGACTGACCAACAGATTCTGCATAAAGGAGATTAATAATCTGCTATCTGAAATCCTTGGCTCCAGATAATAATTGGAATTCAGATTTGGGGGATTTTCAAAAAGTAATATATTACATATTACATGTATTCATCCGGGAAATGTGGGGCAATATGGAATCTATAATCAAACACATTACTATATCTGTAATAAAATGTTTGAATGTCACACCGTGTTGGATGAATAGCCTCACATAAGTTCAGTCAGTTTTGCCACCAGATTAGTTTTCCAGAAATTTACATTTTTTTCAGACTACTAGATCTTAGATCTGTAGATAAAGAGGTAGAATAGTCAGTTTGTGTACTATGTTGAATAATAATATCCTAATATATAAAAACCCAGAGTTGTAACAACCAGTAATGACCAAAGGCTTACCAACCAGAAATCAGTGCTGGTCCCACCCCCAAGCAAGCAGATGGGACAATCAGGCAGGCAGGAAGAGTTTTTAGGGGTGATCAAGTAGTAGACCAGTGGTTAGTGTTGATCAGATAGGCAAGCAAGCAGTTAGGGGAGATCAAGTAGACAAACAGCCCCTTTCTGGGTTGGCCCCGCCCCCAAGCAAGTGGTTAGGGGCAATCAGACAGACAGGCAGTGTGGTAAGGGGTGACCAGGTGGGCAGACCAGCAGTTAGGGGTGATCAGGTAGGCAGACAGCCCCTGCCGGGTTGGCTCTGTCCCCAAACAAAGAAAGAGGGAGGCCCAGGCCAGCCAAGCCATTGCACCCCAGCCTATTGCCTGGAGAGGAAGGCCACCGGTGCAGGGGAGGGAAGTAATGCCACACAAATGGCAACCAGAGGCAGCGGCGGGGGTGGGGCCAGCTGCCTGCAGCCCAGGGAAGGAAAGCCCTGATAGACCCTGATCTCAGGCCAAGCCCAGGGACCCTACCCAAAGAGTTCTGGATTGTGAGAGGGTGCAGACCGGACTGAGGGACCCACCCCACCCCACCCCCGAGAGCATGAATTTTCGTGCATCAGGCCTCTAGTCTATACTAATAAAAGGGTAATATGCTAATTAGACTGGACGTCCTTCTAGATGAAGCCAGGATTGAAGGGAAACCGGGTCCTGGGTCCCAGAGGGAAGCTGGTGCCGGCAGCCAGGGAAGGAAGGCCTCCTCTTGCACAAATTTCATGCATCGGGCCTCTAGTAGTCCTATAAACAGTCCATGTTAAGTTTATGTATGTAAAACTTCTTGTAGTGATTTAGTGATAACTTTGAAAGAAAATACATTTAGAATTTCCGTCTACTGTGGTTCAGAGATGGCTATCTGAAATCTTAAGTTGAGATGGATTTTAAGGCCATGATAAGTCTTAATGAGAAAGAGTGCTGAGATCATTTAGTTACAGCTGTCATGGTTGTGAAAGTACAGAGTGGCAGCATGTTTACCACAGATTTTTATCCCTGATGTTTCTCATTGGATCTCTCTACCCCATTTTTGTATACTAGTATACGGTTACACATGTATAACTTTTGGTATTGCTACCTATTTCAGGTCCAGTGTACTCAAAGGTAAGTCTGCCTCCTCAGCAAGATAAAATATTATAGCATCTTTTAAACAGGCACAAGATCTTCCTATTCACAAATTAATCTTTAACAGGTCTACATAATCGCTGTAGAAAGACATAAAAACAACAAACAACCTCTGACAACTACCTCCTGTCTAGAGGAGAGTGTTAGAGATGGGTCAGACTCATCGCCTGGACTGCTTGACTTGGTCCACACAGACCTGGGCACTCTAAGTAGGCTCTGGCTTGCTGCGCTGCAGGATTTTGCTCTCCTAACCCTGCCTTCTGAATTTGCCTCTCAACTCCCTATTAAAGGTAAGAGGGTAAAATGTTACATAACTCCTAGAGTGTAACTTCTCAACACTTTTATTTTACTTGGTTATCTGAAATATTTTCCCAGAATAGTTTTCATTCATAGAATGAGCCTGTGAGAGTTGCCTCAGGTTAGACACACTGAAGTTGATTGATTAGGTCTCTGGTCAGCAAACTGCGGTTCGCAAGCCACATATGGCTCTTTGGTCCCTTGAGTGTGGCTCTTCCACAAAATACCACGGCCTGGGCATTAGAAGAAGTTTAAGTTTAAAAAATTTTGCTCTCAAAAAAATTTTCAATCATTGTACTGTTGATATTTGGCTCTGTTGACTTAATGAGTTTGCCAGCCACTGGACTAGGTCATGAGGCATGCACATCTCAACTCCCAAGATACTGGCAAATTGGTCTCCAAAGTGGTTATAACTACTTATGTTTCATGAAACAACACATGTTTCTGCTTTTATGCCAGCTTTTTTTAAAACACACTACCTGATATCAAACTAAACTACAAGGCCATCGTAATCAAACAGCATGGTACTGGCATAAAAACAAGCATATAGATCAATGGAACAGACTAGAGAGAAACCAGAAATATACACATGCGTGTATGGTCATTAATATTTGACAAAGAAGGCAAGAACATACAGCAGGGTAAAGACCATCTATTTCAAGTATGTCAAACTCATGGTTCCACAACAAATATTTTTTTTAATATATTTTATTGATTTTTAACAGAGAGAAAGGGAGAGAGATAGAGAGCTAGAAACGTAAATGAGAGAGAAACATCGACCAGCTGCCTCTTGCACACCCCCTACCAGGGATGTGCCCACAACCAAGGTACATGCCCTTGACCGGAATCGAACCTGTGACCTTCCAGTCCACAGACCGACGCTCTACCACTGAGCCAAACCGGCTTCGGCCACAACAAATATTTTTGTGACCCAGCCAATATAACAGTGTGAGCAGTTATTTACAATTATGAAGGGAAATAAACTTCCTGTCAGATCCAGAATAACTGACATTCACCTTGGGTCAGTTTTGAAAATAATCCAGTGAACAAGATTTCCCCCGAAATAGGAAAGGTAGAAGCAGAGAAGAGATGCCAAGTGTCAGGAAGAAAACATTAATTTTATCATTGCTCTTGTTCTTTTTTTATATATATACTATTCAAAATCTATGTTTCTGTGAAAATTGAGGCTTTTGTGTGTATGTGTGTTTTTGTTTATAATATTTTTGCGTCCCACATAAATTTAAACCTTGTTTATTTGGCCTGTATTAGCCTTTGAGTTTACATGCTTGGTCTACTCAATAAATGGTATTGGGAAAATAGAACAGATAGATGAAAAAAAAAGATTAAAAGAAACATAGGATGTTTCTGTTTCACTATATCTCCCTACCGTTATATGTTATAATTTTTAACAATCTGATGGGTATGAAGTAGTATTTCATAGTTTTATCATTCCTCCTGAAACTGTTTGTTTCCCCTTTTTTGTAGGTGGTGCTTTCTATACAGCAGAGACAAGTGAAAATGCAAAATTGCATTATAACAATTCGTGGGCGCTTATCCTCCACGCTACAGCACTGTGGCTTACAAGCACAGGCTTCGTTGTTGCTGACCCAGATGAAGGAGCATCCAATCTCTCCAGGCCTGTAACACCAACTTCCATGTGCCAGGGATCATCCTCTGGGGCCATAGCAAAGTCCCCTGAGGATGTTTTCTCTGATCGATTCCATCTTATTTTAGGTCAGTAAAAAGTGCTTCCAAGCTTCCAACCCTACAGCGTTTTTCTTGAACTGTGCCTCGCTGCCTGTAGCTCTTCGTGGCTGTATTAGATGGTAGTGATATAACTGAGTAAACTTGTACACATTTTATAAAATTGCAAATTTAATTGTTAAGTCTAGAATTCCATTTACAGCTGACTTTAAAATTGCAAGAAAAGTCTAGTTTTTGCACAGAATTTTTAGAAGACCCATGTGGTATCTACAGCTGTACTGAGGGGTCATTCCTTCCCCCTAGTCTCAAGAATTGCAAGATATTAGAAAGGTATGCTCAAAGGTTCAGAATGGCAAACAAATACTTAATGTCAAAGATAAATGAGATTTTTTACATTTATGAAGTTTAAAACCCCCTCCCCCCCGCTTTTTTTTTTCTTTCCTGGAATTTTATTTTTAAATAATGTATCTTTCAAATGTATCAGTGGTTTTCATATTTTATCTACTTTTATTACCTATAAAGTTTTTGATTAAATGAAATGTGAGGGGGGTTTTTTGTGTGTGTGTGTGGATTTTTTTATTTTTTAATGTGAGGGTTTTGAAGGTTATTAAATTAAGTAAGCTTTTGGGGTCATAGAGTTTCTATTCCTTCCAAGGCCAGACATGACTAAATTTCCTATATTATCAGTATATTAAAATTTTGTTTCCATTTGTCTTGACATGAGAGCTTTTTGAAAAGGGACTTTTTTTTATATATATATTTTATTGATTTTTTACAGAAAGGGAGAGGGATAGAGAGTTAGAAACATCGATGAGAGAGAAACCTCGATTAGCTTCCTTCTGCACACCTCCTACTGGGGATGTGCCCACAACCAAGGTACATGCCTTTGACCGGAATTGAACCTGAGACCCTTCAGTCCGCAGGCCGACGCTCTACCCACTGAGCCAAACCAGTTAGGGCAAAAAAGGACTTTATAGAATGAAGGACAGCAGAGTTACCATCAGTATAAGCCATGCAGCTCAACTACCGCAGTTCACATTCTTGATGTATCCCATTGTAACTGACCTTGCATAGATTATATTGCTTCATCTTATGTGTTCATTTTGTTCTCTCATAAAAGGTGCTAATAATAGTACCTACTTCCTCAGGTATTGTGAGAATGAAATGAAAATATGTGTATAAAGTGCAGAGCGTGATACCTGGTAATCACTCAGTAAATTTTAGTCAGAATAAAGTTATGAAACTCTGCATGTCACATCTGGGACAATTTAATCTATTAAAAAAACTTGCCTTATCACTTAATTATTTCAAGCCCTAAATTTATTGTTGCTTGTTTGCATTACCCTTTTGCTAAGCTTATTTGTACATTTTACCAAAATTAAAACTGAATTTTTAACTTAATGAGCTATAACTCTCAAAAAAAGTCTGTCTTGTCTTTTCTGCTTTCTACAGGAATCAGTGTGGAATTTCTGTGTTCCTTGCGCTCAGATGCAACCATGGAAAGCATTACTGCTTGTTTACATGCGTTACAGGCCCTTCTGGATGTTCCTTGGCCCAGATCTAAAATTGGCAGTGATCAGGTGATTCGTTGTTTTTTGGTAGGCTTCTGTAGATTTCAAAGAACAGGAACAGAAACATGTTCGGGTTACTACAGCAAACAGAATGAACACAGAAGTAAAAAGAAAACTAAACAGCTGCACAGCTAGGCCTCAGAACTGGAATGCCGTCAGCAGCTGTGCTGACCTGGGAGCAATCATGCCTCTGACTGCTGCTTTCTGTCTCTGCCTTTGCCTCTGCTGCGCTTCTTTCTGCCGCCACCAGCTAACCACTCTGTATAGCAGCTCTTCCGTCAGACTTCTACAGTGATGGACGGACCTGATACTCATTGTCCAGTGTAATAGCCACTAGCTGCAGGTGGTGCTCCTTCTTTGCCTCTTTCTGCTTCAGTGCACCCCGGCTCCTCACATACATCTGTATTTTATGTTCCATTTCCTTAAGAGAGACCCTGCTTGGTTCATTTGGCTGCGTTCCAGGCCCTCTGTAGCCTATGACAAAGTATTCCTGTCTGAGTTCTCCCTCCAGGTCTTTTTAAGAGACTGCTGACTAGCCTATAGGTGGAGTCAGGCGCTGCTATCTGACTCAGTTGTGACCATGGTAAAAGGATCACTGTACAGAGTATGGCGCTGCCTTTGCCTGCTTTCCCAAGAGCAACTCTGCATTGCACAGGCACCCGGTATTACCAGTGTGTAAAATTCTTATCACTGACTCTTGGATGTTACAAAACATGGATGGTATGGTTTCCTCTCTATATACAGACTATTATTTACCTATTGACACTATTGTTTTTTAATTTTAAGGTATTAATCAGGTTCCTACCTGACTTGGATTGTATTTGAATAAATTTTAAACTTTTTATGCTCATTTATTCTGCATCTTAAAACAAGTACTATAATGATAGGTTTACTCTGTTATTTTCAAAGATGAAAGAAAGCCACTAAGTAACTACTATAATAGAAAAGAAAGGGATAGGAATGAAGTGTTATTTGTCCAGTGTGTTTTATTCTTTATAGAGATACCCATTCTATGCTTGTTATTCACTTTTAATGTCATGCTTTTCCATTATTCTCTGTTGTTTAAAAAAAAAAACAACAACAACAATATAAATCTGGGATTCTACATGGCAGTCCTTGTATTTTTGTAGCCAAATTTCTCATTTTGTTTTGGAAGTTAACTTTCAGTTTTCCCATTTTAGGACCTGTGTGCAAATGACCTTTTGTCATAGTGCCATCTTCCACAGATCGGACAAAAACCAATCTGGAGTTGGTTTAAAGTGGAGCAGATGTTATATAACTTTATTGCACTAAAACCTTTATTTTTTATGAACAATTGGTTAAAATCTCTTTTTTCACGATTTTGTCATAGAATTTATTTAGCACTGGTTTTTGTGGGGTTTTTTTAAAGAAAGTATTTCCAATACAGTCTCCCCTAAATGTTTCCTGTGATAGGCCTTGGGTATCGAGTTGTTGAATGTACTGCATCGAGTAATTTTGACCCGAGAATCACCTTCCATTCAGTTGGCTTCACTTGAAGTGGTAAGACAGATTATCTGTGCAGCACAAGAACATGTGAAGGAGAAAAGACGAAGTGCAGAAGGTGAATGTTAACCCACAATGCCAAACTAATCACATAGCATCACTATTTTTTAAATATTGCTTATGTATCTATGTCATTCTGATAATCTGTTATGTGTAGCACAAAGGAAACATCTCTAGGTATGGCTGTAAGTTCTCCCATTCACCTTTACATGTTAGTTTGGATGTTGTCCATACTAACCTACTATTCCTTGAGAAAATGAGAATTTTAACAAAGCCCTAGAAGCGAAAAAAATCTCGTATTCTGATTGAATACTTACACTAGCTGTAAGAGTTCACTAATGTACATGGAAGGAACAACTAACATTTTTTAATGACTTCGAATTTGCAAAGTGATTAAATGGCTTATTTACAAGTCTAATTCAATATTGGTGAGTTAATTATTCAATATTACATTGACTACATATAACAAAACCCAATATAACAGTGGATTTAAAACACAAAGACATATTCTCTCAGTCTCTCTCATGGGCCCTGACTGGGAATCGAACCCACCACCTTAAGTGTATGGGACAACACCCAGCCAACTGAACTACCTGGCCAGGGCCGGGTTCACATACTTATGAGCATGATGTTAATGAGAAATTTTTTTTAGAGAGAGAGAAACATTGATTTGCTCTTCCACTTATTTGTGCATTCTTTGGTTAATTGTTATATGTGCCCTGATCAGGAATTGAACCCATAACCTTGGCATCTGTAGACAATGCTCTAACCAACTGAGCTACTCGGTCAGGGCCAACCAGAAAATATTTTAAGGCTGGGAGGATTGCCAGGGATTTCTTTTGATTCATTCCAATAAGAAGTCATAATAAAGACAACTATTTTCATTTTATACCCCAGACTTTTGTCATTTAAATGTGTTGCCTACAACACAAATGAGCTAAATTGCCATCTACCAGAGCAAAGTAAATATAAAGAAGCATTTATTCAACCCTATTCTTTCTTTCTTTTAGTTGATGATGGGGCTGCTGAAAAGGAAACCCTGCCAGAATTTGGAGAGGGAAAGGACACAGGAGGACTTGTGCCTGGGAAATCTTTGGTTTTTGCCACACTGGAATTGTGTGTATGCATTCTAGTTAGACAGCTCCCAGAACTAAATCCTAAATTGACAGGTAGCCCAGGAATAAAAGCTACAAAGCCACAGATGCTGTCAGAAGATGGAAGTAGATTGGTTTCAGCGGCCTTAGTTATCCTCTCTGAACTTCCCGCAGTGTGTTCTCCTGAAGGTATGCTGTGGTGTGTGGTTGCTTTACTGGACCTGGAAGGAGAAAAATGGTTGTAATAGGTAAAGGAGATAATGGTTGCTAATCCTTTTCTCACTAAAACAATTTGACCTAAAGGTTTGGGTAATGTTATTAATTCTCTAAGATGAACATTACATCCTAGTAATTGGTTTTACTAAAAGGGTTTAAGTAAATAGACTGCATGTACTGCAGATATATACCATATATATATGGTTGACAGTATTTTAAATCTGTCAGTGGCAGTTATTCACTCTTGGGCTTTTTTTTTTTTTTTTTTTTTTTTTTGTATACAATATCCAATGGACTTCCCCTACCTCAGTGATGACAGAAGTTTTCATCATATCCAGTTATGTTTGGAATCAACTCCATTCTTTTAGTTCAGCATTTTAAGGCTCTCTGTAGGGCTTTGCTGAGTCACTGCCTCTTCTTCATTCCTTCTGGGAGAATTTTAAACCCATGAGGCTTTATACTCATCCTGTTCTGTGCTATTGTCCATGGTGTTACTTGATCTATTGTCCATGGTGTTATATGATCCCATCCCTTCTCTTCTACTTAAAATTTTGCATTCCTTTGAAGTTCAACTCCAGGCTTACCTCATCTGTGAAGCTTCCCTATATATACATATATGTGTGTGTGTGTTGGTTCTATATGTAGAGACAAAGTTTTTATGTGTCATATAGAAGCTTTATATGTCATTGATTATTATATGTGAATAAGATAAATATATACATATAGAGAGACATATGTCTTATTTCTATTGACATTTTTTATCCTCTAGGAAATCTAGCACATAATAGGTGCTCAGTACTTAATATTTTTCAATTGGTAAGCATATTTCTACTTAAATGTGTCTTGACCAATTTATGTGCTATCTTACTTTTAAAGTGACTTTAAATTTCAATTAAAACCTATATTCCTTGTTCTCACACACTTCCTTTCTGCCACATCAGGAGTGGCAGAAAGTGACTAGCAGAGGACGATTGAGTAGCATCTGGGAAAATTGACCATTTTAACTTTAGTCTCTTTCATTTTAAACATAACTGACTTTTTTACTCCTTTAGTAGCCATTAAAACTTTAATATTTTGTACTGAGTGGATTGCTACAAATTCCTTGAAAAAAGTTTAGAATAAAGTTAAATGGGCAGTGCCAATTTAACTTTAAAACAGTGCCAATTTAATTTAAAACATTGTGAATATACTTGATGCTGCTAAATTATACTCTTTAAAATGGTTAAAGTGGTAAGTTTTGTTATGTATATCTTACCACACTAAAAAAAACAAATAAAAATAAATTCGACATTTGCCAACTTCCAAGTAAAAAAATATAATATAGCAAAAGATACTGAGCTATGATTTAAATAACATTTTCAATTATAACCAAAGTAGAATCCAATCCTTTTTTAAAATTTATTTTTATTGATTTTTAGAAAGGAAGGGAGATGGAGAGAGAGATAGAAACATAAATAATGAGCGAAAATCATTGGTTGGCTGCTTCCTGCACACCCCACACGAGGGATCAAGCCCATAACCCAGGCATGTACCCTGACTGGAAATCAAACCGTGACCTCCTGGTTCATAGGTTGCTGCTCAACCACTGTGCCATGCCAACCAGGCTGATTCAATCTTAAAAATCTAAAGGTTATTTAAATTACCTTAAAGGTTATAGTTCTTTATGAAACATAATATTAAAAGCAAGAACTCTGCCGGGACTGGTTGGCTCAGTGGATAGAGCATCAGCTGCGGATTGAAAGGTCCCGGGTTTGATTCCGGTGAAGGGCATGTATCTTGGTTGCGGGCACATCCCCAGTAGGGGGTATGCAAGAGGCAGCTGATCGATGATTCTCTCTCATCGATGTTTCTAACTCTCCCTCTCTCTTCCTCTCTGAAAAATTAATAAAATATATATTTTTTTAAAATTAAAAAAATAAAAGCAAGAACTCTTTGACATTGTCTTATCATTGATGTTTTCTTTTTAGGAACTATATACATAGACTGAAATACAGAGTGTGTTGTTTTATTTTTTTTTTAATGTGTCTTCTAGGAAGCATCTCAATTCTCCCTACGATACTGTACCTCACAGTTGGGGTCCTGAGAGAAACTGCTGTGAAATTGCCGGGGGGCCAGTTATCTTCAACAGCCGCCGCTGCCCTGCAGGCTCTGAAAGGAGTGCTGTCTTCTCCCATGGCCAGCGCAGAGAAGAGCCAGGCTGCTTGGACTGGCCTGCTCCGGAGCGCTTTAGCCACAATTCTGGGCTGTTGGGATCCAGGTAATCAAAGCTTTTTGGAAGCTCCTGTTTTAAAAGTCAAGACAGACCATTTTTTGAGAAGCTGTTGACTTGATCATGTTTGACAGTCTCACCTGAAAGAGACCATATTTATTACAGAATGTGGTTAGAGAACATAAGAGGATAGAACATCTATGTTCTCTTGTTAGTATCTTTAACCTGTAATACAAGTAAATGAATGGCAGCCTGCATAGGGTTGACATGAGAAAACTTCAAGTGTAGTATTATGTTAATTTCAAAATATAACATGATCCATGACCAACTGACAGAACTTCTTACATGCATAGTATACTGAAAAGTTCATAAGTTATGAATTATAAATACAAATAAGACCAATCAGCCCAGCCAGTGTGGCTCAGTAGTTGAGCGTTGACCTATGAACCAGGAGGTCACAGTTCAATTCCCAGTTAGGGCACATGCCAAGATTGTGGGCTCAGTCCCCAATAAGGGATGTGCAGGAGGCAATGGATCACTGATCCTTTCTCATTGATGTTTCTATCTCTTTTCCCCTCTTTCTTCCCCTTTCTGAAGTCAATAAAACTAATTCAAGAAAAAGACCAATCTGGTTTATATAGTCAGCACTTAATAGCTAACTAACTAGCCAAGTTACCCAACTTCTCTGAGCCTTAAATTTCTCATTAACAAAATAAGAATATTAAGTTGCAGGAAATGTTAAGGCCGTAACATAATATATGAAAAGCATCTCGCTTATTACCTGGCATATATTAATAAATGATAGCTAGTATTATGTTCACTGTCCATTAAAATGTGTTTGCTCTTATTATGTTCACTTGTTTGCTCTTGCTATTATGTTCATTTTCAACATATGTATAGTGATTACAGAAAGTCTTTAGACAAATTACAAATTATTTCCACCTTTCTTATTCTAGTGAGGATAAGTGTCACAGTTCACTATCTTCTATTTCATATGGTAAAAAGGTTTCAGTTGAATTCAGCATTTATTGACCACCTACTTTGCACCTAGAGTTAGGAATCTAGTTCCTATAAATTGCTGTAGAGTATGATGAATAACATAAGTTCTCTTTGAAGATGACAGTAATGTCTTAACAGTCACTGGATTGCTAGTACACTGAAAAGAAAGAGAGACTAACTGGCAAAAAATTAGAGTAACCAGCTCTGAGTAAATCAGGCAGTGTCACAGATAGTGTTCTTTGGAAGCTCATTCTAGGATGGAGTATGGGGAAAAGGAGTTTTATGAAGGAACAAATATGTGAAAGGAATAAGGAAAAGCAATTTGAGGTAATAGAAGTCACACAACAGTGCAGGCCCTCAAAAGCTCAGGGAACCTGAGAGCTCTAGTGATTGCCCGTTAGAGTGTCCCACCTAGGGCAGAAATGGCCTGGCCTTGGTCCCCAGATGTGGATTGCCCAGGAAGGATGTGATTGCAGTTAGGGCAACTCTGTAGCTAAGGCCAATCCTGAAGGAGCAGCTGGGCAGCACCTTTCCCAGCGAAGGGGTACACCTCTGTATCTGCCACAGGAGGCTTCTCAGAAGAATCCATTTATTAAAGTATTAGAGAGGTTCTCCACTTGGACATTATAGGTAGGAATTCAAGGCACAAAATTTTGATCAAAGATCCGGAGACCTAATGTAAGTAAGTACATTTGTGGATAGCAAATAAAGAAATGAGAGAATTTGGTTTGGGGGGAAGGAGTAAGAAGGTGGTGAATGATGATTAGTAGAAAAAGATATTCATTGGATGGTATTTAGGGCCAAAGGATGGAAGATTTGGCATGATCTCGGTGAATTGCTTTTAATATGCATGTGGAATTACTGAAGAGTTTTAAGGAGAGTAAAGTGATCTGCATTTTTAAAGAATCTCTCTGGCAGCAGTATAGAAAAGAGAGCAGGTTTTTGGAGATGAGATAGTAGCAATAAGGATAAAGAGGAATAGAATACTGAAAACTAAAATATTAAGCATCTGCTAACAGAATTTACTGGTAGTTTGGTGTAGGAGTTGAAGGGTAGAGTGAGTAGAGCACTCAGTACCATGAACAGAAATACCATGGCGAGCATTTTCAGGGGAATATACTGAAGTTAAGTGTGAATTGCCCGTAGGATAATCAAGTGGAACAGAATACACAGAGGTCTGGAGTTCAAGAAAGTAGTCTGGCCTAGAGGTGATTTTAGACTACCTGTATTAGGCAGTTGTGCGTGCAACCTTTTGGATGGTTGAAATCACCCAACTTGAATTTACAGAGCAAGATGGGAAGAGATTCAGAAAAGAATGAGGTCACAAGCAAAAAGAAAACAAAAGTGGTCAGCAGTGTAAAATAGTGCTGAGGTACAAAAAAAAGAGGTAAGGAAAGGGAGGTTCAAAGTATAGGCTTCTCCTGACAGAAAGAAGAAGATAGAGATGAGGTTGAAATTGGAAGTTTTAGGAGGGAAACATGCCCCTTTCTAGGCAGGAAATAACATTTAACCTCTATCAATGAGAGCAAAGGAAAAAAGAAAAGGACCGAAATACTGTGTCTGAATTTTTATGTTGAGAGTGATGAGTTTTGTTGTGTATCAGGAATGAGGTTAGGAACTTGAGGATTTAGGCTGGCTTCTGAGAAATTAAAGAAGCAGCTGATCATGACAGGAAAACCATTAGCTACATAACAAATTATTGGCTTAAACATTATCTGATAGTTATGGGTCAGGAATCCAGAGCAGCATAGCTGGGTATTTCTGGCTCAGGGTCTCTCATAAGGTTGCTGTTAAGATGTTGGCAGGACTGCAACTAGAGCATCCACTTCCAAAATGACTCATTGACTCAGTCAAGGCTGTTGGCAAGAGGCTTCACTTTCCCTCTGGCTGTTAGCAAGAGGCCACACTTCCTTACCACATGGACCTCTCCTTAGCCTAATGCTAAGGGAACCTTGCATCTATCCTAAATAAAAGAGAAGGGCCTGTAATTAGAAAATGAAGAAAAAAGAATAGTAATATAGTCATGCACTGCATAACCACATTTCCATCATTGGCAGACCACATATACAGTGGTGGTCCCATCTTATCTAATAAAGAGGGAATATGCTAATTGACTGTCATACCCTCACAAAGATGGCAGTATCCACAGCCAATAAGGAGGGAATACACTCATTGACTGCCACACCCTCAAATATGGTGGCACCCACAGCCGCAAGATGGCAGCGCCCAATCCCCTCAGCCCTACAGCGCCCGGTCCCCACAGCCAGGCCCGCCCCCAGATGGGTTCAGCCACTCTGCATGCCTGCTTCCAGAGTCCCCTAGTCCCCTCAGGTGGTGGCTGCCCATCCACCCAGGGCTGCCCAAGGCTCAGGTAATCAGGGCCAACCAAGGCTTGTGCTGCTGGCAGGGCAGGAGCAGAGGTGTGATGGGGGCATCACTTTCCCCTGATTGCCGGGTTGCCTCCCACCCCTGAGGGCTCCTGGACTGTGAGAGGGGACAAGCAGGACTGAGGGACCCCCCCACCAGTGCATGAATTTTCATGTACTGGCCTCTAGTAAGATTATAATTGATTATAAGCAAAAACTTTTTTGTGACATTATAAGAAAAGGTTGGACCAGTCTGTGATGTTGAATTGACTGAGTTCTAGGTGGTTTAATTAAATAAACGAGAGGAGACTGGCTCAGGATTCTATCACCAGAGGCTGGAACCGGAAGTTGGCCAGGGATCAGGAGGAGTGGGCTGGGGCAAGTGGCAGCCTCTACACACACCCCTGCCTGCCCCTGCACTTACAGACTCACTTCCCTTCTTTCCATTTATCTTTGTCTCTCTTTGCTCCCATTCCTGTTCCTCTTACAAACTCACTTCCTTTTCCTCCCTTTCCTCATTATCTTTCCTCCCAGCCCCATTCCTCTCCCTTTTATTGTGTCTCCTCTCAAGTGTTATCTCTCTGGGTCCCTTTGATCTCTGCTCTTCCTGTCTCCCCTTCTCTTCCTTCCCTCTCTTCTTCCCTCCCTCCTCCGGACATCTCTTCCTCTGAAGGTGTCTCCCTCAAGAATCCTCCCCCCGACACACACATACACACACACTATCTTTTATACAGTGTTTGTCTGTACTTTTTCTAAGTTTATATACATAAATATTTACCGTTGTGCTACAGTTGTTTACAGTATTCAGCACCATAGCATGTTGTACAGGTTTTTAGCTTAGAACAGTGGTCGGCAAACTCATTAGTCAACAGAGCCAAATATCAACAGTACGATTGAAATTTCTTTTGACAGCCAAATTTTTTAAACTTAAACTTCTTCTAACGCCACTTCTACAAAATAGACTCGCCCCGGCCGTGGTATTTTGTGGAAGAGCCACACTCAAAGGGCCAAAGAGCCGCATGTGTCTCGCGAGCTGTAGTTTGCCAACCACGGGCCTAGAAGCAATAGGCTATTCCATCTAACCCAGATGTGTAGAAGGCTCTACCACATAGGTTTGGGTAAATGGTCTCTGTGACGTTTTCAAAAGTAGCAATCCAGGGGGAAGGTGGAGAGAGGGGCGTAGCAATCCATTCTTATGCAAGTTAATGAGTTGAATTTGGCTCTCCTTTTCAAATAATACTGATTTGGTACAGCGGGTTCATTAAAATTATTTATGAGATTTTGATTTAGAAAAATGAATTACATCTAATAGAAAATTCCTTTAAATGATTGGTGGTGAAGGGGACCAAAAGTTCTGCCTTTTAGGGTATTGATTTTCAAGTTGGTTGTTAATAAATAAATTACCTATAAATGGCTCATTCTCACTTTTGAAATCTAAGATCCCATCTCTTCATTTTCTCCTTTGTCCAAAATGTATTCATATATATATATATATATATATATATATATATATATATATATATACACACACATACACACACACACTGAGTTTTGCCTCTGTATTTGGAATTTTCTTGCTTAATGTGAATTCCCCATGCATATGCATTAAAATTTTATTTTCTCCTGTTAATCTGTCTCTGTTAATTTGGTTATTAGCCCAGCTAGAAGAAATTAGAAGGTAGAAGGACAATTAATACTTTTTAGCCTCCCACAGTGGAATTTTTAAGTTTTTTCTCTACTATTAAGAAATGGTATATGTAGCAAAGTGCTAACGGATTTTCACTTGACACATGTATTATCAATATATGAATACTTTAAACTTAACAAAGAAAAGACAATTGTCCAAGCATTTCTGTATTACTCCACAATGAAGATAGTAATAAAACAAAAAACACACATTTAGTATTATATACAATATACTATTCTAATGCATTATATAGTTTAACTCATTTAACCTTATAAATGTAAGTCCTTTGCTTACTCCCATTTTACAGATAAGAAAGCTGAAGACAGGGTTAGATATCCCAGGTCATTACAACTAATAAATGTATATTCCTAGTAAGTATATGTATTTACTGATGTCTTTTCCTGTGAAGATTATCATTGCTTTAGTGATTCTTGGTTCTAGAGTACTTATAATGCACATTTTAAAGCCTGAAACATTTGCCAGGAGTTTTAAAGTCAGTGTTTATTGTCTATAACTGGAACAAAAGAAATTGTTACTACCAAACTAGAGATAGCTTCCCATGGACAGTAGATACAGCAATATTAGGATCTGTTTCTCATACATCATTTTCTCTTTAGTAGATGGATCACACCAAGAACTTGATGAAGTCAGTCTGCTTACTGCTATCACAGTATTTATTTTGTCTACCAGTCCAGAAGTAACTATCATCCCATGCCTTCAAAAGCGCTGTATTGAGAAATTTAAAGTTGCACTTGAGAGTAAAGATGCTATGGTAAGTGTCTTTAGCAGAGAGATGTTTGTGATAGGAATATGTTTAGGCTTTTGCAAAACTTTTCTTTGATTTTTGTTGATTCTAACAAGTATCAGACTAAAATTTTTATTTTTAGGTTTGGGGTGAAAATACCAAATAAATATAGTCTTATTATTTGGCCCTGGGGATAGAGCATAATTGGAAAATGATAAAGGAGATTTTTTTAAAAATCAACAAAATACTGCCTGGCCAATGTGGCTCAGTGTTTGAGCATTGACCCCCAAGCCAAGCGATCACCAGCTCGATTCTGGGTCTGGGCATGGGTTGTGGGCTTGATCCCCAATAAGGGGCATGCAAGAGGCAGCCGCTCAGTGATATTTCACTCTCATTGATAATTCTATCTCTCTGCCTCTTTCCCTTCCTCTCTCTCTAAAGCATGTTTTTAAAAAAACAACAAAAACTAAATGTGAAATAGGGGCATCTTAAAATTGACATATTTGTAATGTTTTTTTCAAGGGGCATTTAGTAAAATATATTGTAAATTATTATAGTGGATTTTCTTTTTGTAGAAAAAAAAGAAAGGCTTCAGCATATGTCTTTATTTATTTATTATTGATTTTAGAGAGAAGAAGAGAGAAACATCGATTTGTTGTCCCACATATTTATGTATTCAGTTATTGCTTCTTGTGTGTGCCTTGACCAGAGATCAAATCTGCAACCTTGCACATCAGGACAATGCTCTAACCAACTGAGCTACCTAGCCAGGGCTCCAGTACATACATACCTTTAGTATGTGATCATGAAATAAGGGGACCCACTCCAAAAACAGCACTCACAAGTCGATCCCATTGTTCTATGGTCCCTTCATTTGCTGAATTAATTCTCTAGTCCTTTATGTGCTACAAAATGAGTTTGTAGCACATGATCACAACTATTTTTTTTTTAACATATTTTTAATTTTATTTTTTAAATATATTTTTATTGATTTCAGAGAGGAAGGAAGGTAGAGGGGGGAGAGAGAGAGAGAGAAAAACATCAATGATGAGAGAGAATCATTAATCGGCTGCTTCTGGCACACCTCCTACTGAGGATCAAGCCTGCAACCCGGCATATGCCCTTGACCAGAATCGAACCCAGAACCTTTCCATCCTCAGGCTGACATTCTATTCACTGAGCCAGTGGTCAGCAAATTCAGTAGTCAACAGAGCCAAATATCAACAGTACAACGATGGAAATTTCTTATGAGAGCCAAATTTTTTAAACTTAAACTTCTTCTAATGCCACTTCTTCAAAATAGACTCGCCCAGGCCATGGTATTTTGTGGAAGAGCCACACTCAAGGGGCCAAAGAGCCACATGTGGCTCGCGAGGCGCAGTTTGCCAACCACTGCACTGAGCCAAACCAGCTAGGACACAACTATTTCGACTCCTAAAGTATAGGAACCAGATTTTCTCTCAGAAAAATTTAATCATCCAAAGACCATCACAATTTATTGAATAAAGATATTATATGCAGTAAGTCCTCATTTAACATTGTTGATAGGTTCTGTGACTTTAAGAAAAATGGTATATAAAGAAATCTGTTTTGCCCTAGCTGGTTTGGCTCAGTGGATAGGGTGTAGGCCTGCAGACTGAAAGGTCCCAGGTTCAATTCCAGCCTAAGGCACATGCCCAGGTTGCGGGCTTGATCCCAGTGGGGGGCGTACAGGAGGCAGCCAATCAATGATTCTCTCATCATTGATGTTTCTATCTCTCTCTCCCCCTCTCCTTTCTTCTCTGAAATCAATAAAAATATATAAAAAAAAAAAAAAGAAAGAAACTCATTTTACCATAGGCTAATAGTAAACAAGAGTTAAGTTCCTAAGGTATTTCATCAATGTTACAACAAATGACATTATTTGAGCACCTGCTGTAATTGTTGTACAGTCATCTCCTTTTCTTCTGTTCTTTTTGTTGCCTACAGCCTTGAAGGAGCTTTAGATAGCACTCTCAAAATGATAGTTCTGATATGTGATGCCCCATAATATGGTCCAGACATGGTTCCTTAAGACCATGACATTTGAATTTTAAATATATGTGATCTTTTTAAGACATTTTCTGAAATCTCCAAAATACTTTTCAAGTCTGTATATGTGTTTTAGTTTAATTTTACTGAGATTATAGAAGGGCATATTGGGGGTGGAGAGGAATAGAACTACAGAAAAGAAGAAAATTAACCATTACAATGTATTGAATAAAGGATACAACAGGGAAGGCAAGTTTTCATATCCTAGTGGACGCATTCACGTGCCTGTTCCCAGGCCAAACTGTTGCAGCCACTGTTAGCATGCAAGTTTGAATACCTGTTACTATTTGGACTTCAAAATAAAAGATAAATTAGAAATAAATTTAAATACCTTTTTAGGAATTTTTAAATTAACTTTATAAAATTTACTTTAAAATATACTTTTTAATGTAAACTTATTTACAGTTCACACTGTTTTTTTCTCTTACTTGATTAGGTACAAATCAAGACCTACCAGCTCCTACTTTCCATTTTTCAGTATCCAAATCCAGCTGTTTCCTACCCTTACATTTACTCTTTAGTCTCCTCTATCATGGAAAAACTACAGGAAATAGACCAAAAAGATCCTGAAGACGCCACTGAGCTTCAGATCTTTCAAGAAGGTATAAAGGTCTTGGAAGCACTGGTAACCATTGCTGAAGAGCAGCACCGTAAGTGTCAGCATGAAGTTCATATTAGGTCAGAATCTGTCCAAAATCAGAAATTTAATGTGAAAGTGTAAAGCATTCACATATTGGTTAAATGAATAAATTTAAAAGTATAAGAGTCACATAATATTATATTTTCATATTTATTGAAAGGCAATGTTATTATATTTTAATCCCAACTAGTATTCATTTGGGAGAAGAGATAGGAAGAATTGTTTTCCCCATCAGTGGAAAAGAATGTGTCCAGATCAAGAGTTTTTACAACTTTGTGTAATACACATTTATATTCCTGAATGTAGGGCTTACTTCATTTATTTACTTTCCAGGCTCTCAGCTGGTGGCTTGTCTTCTACCCATCCTCATTTCCTTCCTTTTGGATGAAAATGCTCTGGGATCAACAACTTCCATAATGAGAAATTTACATGACTTTGCTTTGCAAAAACTCATGCAAATTGGGCCTCAATATTCATCAGTGTTTAAAAGTGTGATGGCTTCTTCTCCAGCCCTGAAAGCCCGCCTTGAGGCTGCTATAAAAGGCAATCAAGAAAGTGTCAAAGTCGGGACACCAACATCTAAATATACTAACCACCCTGGGAAGAATTCAAGCATCCAATTGAAGACCAGTTTCCTCTGATGTTACTTGTTTTTATTAATAAGCACCTTAATATAGTACTTGATTATTTTATTTACTTCTCTTTGGGGACAAAAGTGACATTTTAGACACTTGGAGGTCTGGTTGATTGTTTCAATTTAACTGACTTTTCAAAGTCACAAAACAACATTTTTTGTGGGGTTTTGTTTTTCATTAAATAAAGCTGCACAGCTCTATCAGAATTCTTGCCAGGAATTTCAATAAAGTGCTAAAGAACTGACCTTACTAAACAATCCACTGCTTTAAGAATGAAATGACTTCTGACAGCCCGTACACACTGAATATTATGACAGGTTGTACTCTATCATAAATTATCTGAATTTATGTTATATCCCAATTTTAAATTAAAATCCTGCCTTATTAGCAATTATATTAAATTTCTTGGATTCCTCAAACAACAAATTACTGGAAAATTACTTAGGAAGGTTGATTAGGAATTATTCAATATATAATAGTACAAATTAATTACACCCCTACAGTGTGACTTAAGATTTGATGTCTATAAATATCATGGGTTTTCAGTCATCTTTTGGTTTTATTTGTATTGGGTTCAGAAAATAGAAATTTTACTCATTTTAAAGAAAAGAGGGCATTGCACTTCAATGTTTCAGGTGGATTTTCTGTTACCTCTATTCCTAATAACTTTGTTCATTTGCATTTGTGGCAAACATTCATACCAATGAGTTTAATATAGACTCACATCTATATTTAGAGCAACTATGGGTTTATATAAATGTCAAATTTATTACAGCAAATTTAGATCATCAGTGAATACAAGTATGGTTTTTTAACATGAAACATATTTTAATATAGAAAAAAAATCTAATGATAAAGTCTTCTTGGTTAAAAAATATTTTTTAACTGTTGGTGATCAGTAACTCTCCTTCCACTTCAGTGTTACCCTGTGAATCAAGCAGTATGTCTAAACAAAGCATTTCCTTGTTAAATATTGAAAACTGAAGTAATGGGGCATGTTCAGAATTGAGAAAACACTTTGAATCAAGCAAAAGCAATGTAATGTACTCTATTTTATTATGTTTGTATATAAATACTCTTAAATTGTTTAGAGTGAAAACATTTGACAAACTGTAACACTATCAATTTTTCTAATTTACATAAATAAAGCTAATTTTCTTTATTCTTGTATTTGAAATTATTTATAAAATGGCTGGTTAATCTCCCAGATTTCAGAAAATCAATTTTACAGGGCAAATAATATCACTTCTCTGTAACTTGGCCTTTTTTCTCAGAGGAGCCCTTTCTTTGGAGCATTCTTTGTAATGGTTTGGATACTCTGTTTTCTTAATTGTCTTGAAGAATTTGAGAGTGTACTTCTTACTGTTTCTTTCACCTGGATGCCCTTCCTTCCTATGTTCTATCTGGCAGGTTTCCACACCTTTTGGGCCTGGTTTAAATATCACCATATCTTCTCACCTTGGTAATGCTCCTTTAATATATATGTTATATTTTATATGTGTCATATATATATATGTTATACACACACACACCAATATATGTTGTGTGTGTGTGTGTGTGTGTGTGTGTATATATATATATTTTTTTTTTTTTTTTTCAGAGAGTAAGGGAGAGAGTAAGAGAGTAAGGCAGCTGATCAATGTTCAGCTGCCTCCTGCATGCTCCCATTGGGGATCAAGCCCACAATCCCAGCATATGCCCAGACCAGGCTCTCCTTTAATTTTTTTCCTTCCTCATATAATGACCAAATTTAACTGCACAGCACTGAGCCAAAGGGGTATTGGGTCGATGATGGCAGCACCCAGAAATTGGAGTTTCATATATGCAGTCACTGGTGGGAAGTTCTTGTCCTCACTGAGGCTGGGAGCTTAGTTGGTGAGCTCATAATACAGATGGAATTCAGATGTGCAATCGGGTGCTTTTAGGACAGTCTGAATTCCTTATGTGGTCTGATTCTTGGTGTCCAGCAAGTTTTCCTGAGTCGGGAAACTTACAAATGGCCTTAAGGACTGTATTGCCCTTAATGCATCTTTTAATTGTATCCTTTAGTTTGTTCAGTTAAAAACAAGACAAGAGGCTCCAACAGAGCTGCTCATGCTAAGTCCTATGTCACCATACTGGAACTTAATTACAGTTTGGCCTCTCCCAGAAATGGAATCTTCAATCAGTCATTCATAAGTCATCTAATCAGCAGCATGAGGTCATCAGCCTGCCAGACCCCTTCCACCCGCTAAAAGAAAGTGACCTTCCCACAACAAATATGCTTACTAGTACAACTTTCTTGTTCCCACTTCCTTTTGCCTATGAAAGTCTTTCATTTTGTGTAGCTCCTCAGAGCTCCTATCTGCCAGATAGTACGCTGCCTGATTTCATTCATTGTTAAATAAAGCCAGTAAGATTTTTAAAATATATTCAGTTGAATTTGTGTGTTTTTTTAAATCAGTTTTCAAACATTAAGATTTCTAGCCCGGCCAGCCTGGCTCAGTAGTGAGCATCCGCCTATAAACCAAGAGGTCAAGGTTCAATTCCCAATCAGGGCTCATGCCCAGGTTGCGGGCTCAGTCCCCAGTGTGGGATGTTCAGGGGGTAGCCGATCAATAATAGTCTCTCATCATTGATGTTTCTTTCTCTCCCTCTTCCTCTGAAGTCAATAAAAATATATTTTAAAATAAACATTAAGATTTTGCCGGGACCGGTTTGGCTCAATGGATAGAGCATCGGCTTGGAGACTGAAGGGTCTCGGGTTCGATTCCGGTCAAGGGCATGTACCTTGATTGCGGGCATATCCCCAGTAGAGGGTGTGCAAGAGGCAGCTGATCGATGACTCTCTCTCATTGATGTTTCTAATTCTCTATCTCTCTCCCTTCCTCTCTGTACAAAATCAATAAAATATATTTTAAAAAAAAAGATTTATACTCACCATTTAGTGATATGGTGTCCTGAATTGTTTGGATTAAAGTTGCCATATGAATGTCAATAGTTACAAAAAAATATGTCCAATGCCATAGAATGAGGAACTTTGAGCGAGGGTCTATTCTGTAGCCTTTTTAAAAATGCATCAATACAACATATTTAATAAACATTGTATTAGTAAATATGTCCTTACTGATAAGAAAATTAAGACTTGATAGCTGAGATTTGGACCTAGGGTTCATACTGAAGACAGAAAAAGTGCTGATGCAGTCCAGACTCTATCAAGATATAGCTTTTCTTTCACTGCTCACCTTCAATTTAAAGGGAACACTTAAACAGATCCCAATAAATGTTGTAAAGTCATATAAGCCTAGTGCTATGGGAGCCCAGAGAAGAAAACTGAAGCTTCAGAAATAGGCTTTATGGAAAGAAATGAACTTTATGATATAGGCAGTCAGAATAGTATTTACTTGATGGGATAAATGCATACTAAGTGCGTAACCCAAAAGTTTCTTCCTATCATTGACTCTGAAAGTTCCCCATATTCCATATCCTAAAGAATTCCCTGGTGTGATATTTTTTTTAATTATGTTAGTTTATATTATGAGAGAATAAATTCAGCCCTCAAGCTAGTAAACTATAAAAATATTAATACAGAACTGACAATATGTGAAGTAAATTATTTTGTTATTACTCACCCAAGGATATTTTTCCATTGATTTTTAGAGAGAGTGAAAAGGAAGGGGAGAAACAGAGTGAGAGAAACATCAATGAGAGAAATGCATTGATGGGTTGCCTTCTGTACATGCCTGGACCAGAGCCAGGGTTTGAGCCTATACCTAAAGTACATGCCCTTGAACAGAATCGAACCCAGGACCCTTCAGTCCGCAGGTCAACACTCTATCAACAGGTAGGGTGAAATAAATTCTATGCTCAAAAAAACTAAAGTTGCCAAAACCAGTTTGGCTCGGTGGATAGAGCGTGGGCTTGGGGACTGAAGGGTCCTGGGTTCGATTCCGGTCAAGAGCATGTACCTTGGTTGCGGGCACATCCCCAGTGCAAGAGGCAGCTGATCGATGACTCTCTCATCGATGTTTCTAACTCTCTATCTCTCTCCCTTCCTCTCTGTACAAGGTCAGTAAAATATATTTTAAAAAAAACAAAAAAAAAACTAAAGTTAAAATGTTGAATCATTTCTGCTGGTTTAATGACTGCATTCCCCTACATTAAGGCAACAGTCCTACATCTTCAACAGCCTGCCTATGTATCTTTCCAAAGTCCATTAACATAACATTTATAACTGACACATATTGCAATTTCTCCATCAACTGAATGCACTTTCCTCTTCACAAATAACTTCTTACCCTTACAAGACCTCAATTTATTAGGAGAAATTTATCTCCATGTTTGCTAGCAATCTAGTTACTCTACTGGGAGCTAACTGACAATTGTCAATTCAACTGTCAGTTAATGAGTTGTGGCCGTTCACTTCTGTTTACCCATCTGTTTAACTGATGCCTGGGCTTTTAGCTTTGAGGAAATGGGAAATTTTGTGTTGTGATATAGAGCTGGAATATATCCAGTAGAGACCACAAATACAATTCCAGTGTCTTTAAATTCAAAGGACCTGGCTTCCTTTAATTGTATTTCTGTTTGGTTAGGACTCCTGCACTATTGTATTGGGGCATTTTGAAAGGATTATTCCATAGACTACTTGGGAAAATTTCTCTTTACTTGATGGCCATTCTTAATATATATCCACAATCATTCTTTAAATATAATAGACAATGTATTTTATTTTTTAAAAACGTTTTTAAAATCATTCTAACTATGTTTTTAAGAAAATAAGAGGTCATTGTTGCTGATGAAAAACTAATGTTGACAATGTTTTGCTTAATGGAATCAAAATTTAATCATTTAATTTTTTTTCCAGAAAAAAGTACCTAAAGGTAAAAGATACACACACACACACACACACACACACACACACACACACACACACACACTCACACTCACACACGATGTAGTCAACTCTTTTTAAACTATTAGAGGCCCAGTTCACGAAATTCATGTATAGGTAGGGTCCCTAGGCT